AGGATATAGATGTTACTCTTCCATGGTGGAAGAGTTCTAGTTGATCTCATACTCTAACTCTATCCTTTTCCTAAACCGTGTTCTCTTTGTGTAAGGAGTCTTTCTCCTTATCCAATATGCAATCTTTTCGATCATGATCAGGAGATATCACTTCTGATAAGTTAGGTTTATCTCCTTCACGTGCATCTCACATGTTTGGGTTGATCACAACTGTGCTTCACAAGATGGACCTGATCCATATCTGAGTTCTTTTGTCAGTCTTCAAAACTTCACATTTACATGGTCCAACAATTTGAACATGTTCACCTCTCATGAGCACTTGAATTGTTATGAACGTTGTAAAAGTTAAAGTGGGGGGTGGTTGGTTTGGCTTTTAAGTGGAACTAATGAAAAAAAGAGAAAGGTGCATTGTTTTGAAAAAAATAGAAGCCACTTGAATTGAAAAAGAAAGAAAAGAAAAAAAAATAGTTCTATTGTTGTGAAAAAATAATAATTCCTTGCTAAGTGGTGACTCTTGATGTATTTGTGCTTAAAGAAATATGGAGTTAATATACATTGAGGTGAAGGTGGAGTTATGGTTTGACATAAGTGTGGGGTTTGAATGTTAAAGTATTATGTATTAAAATGCTTAGGGAGTTGTAGTCACTCTTATATCCAAATGTATCCTACCCGACCCGCAGCCTACATAACAACTCATTATAGTCCTACTTGATCCTAGACTGAATGAGCTCGATTAGTAGAGTAGTACGCTACGGGCAAGCCTAAGGTGCATCCTTTGTAGCATATGAATGTTATTTCTGAGAGCGTGTGAATTCTTCCTATCTTGAGTTCCTACGATCTTAAAATTTATTGTGTGTGGAACTACTCTCTTTTGTTGAGTGAGGGAACGTGATTCATGATGGAAAGGTAATGTCATTGACCTCCATGTTAGAGTAAGTGAGTGAGTTGTGAATAATACATGGTACTTGCGAGTCAAATCTTGAGGTGGAGATGTTACACCCTTGTGCTTAGTCTATTTTAAAGATTCTTGGTATGATGAGTAAGGAGAATTGCTTAAAAAGGTTGTGTATATAAGTGTAGTTTGATTGCTCGAGGACGAGCAATGTTTAAGTGTGAGATATTGATGTGTGGCTATAATTCCATAGTTTCGTACATTATTTGCCTTGCATTTTATATGCTTTAATGATAAAGTATACTTTATTTGCGCGTAATGGAGTCTATTTTATGTATATGTGAATAGAAGATGAAAGCAGAGCAAAAGAGATACTTAAACGTTGAAAGCGTGCTCGAGAACAGTGAAAAGGAGAAAGATGGCGATGCCAGGACTGGAGCCAGATCCACCGGGCGTTATGCCTGGTGATGCCAGGCCTTGGGCGAGATCCATTCCGAGTTTTGAAGACTTATTCCGTCTCCTGGTTTGACTAGGACTTGGCCTACACGTTTAGATTTTTTCCTAAACATATGAATAGACCTAAAACGCCACTTTTAAGGGGGATTGGACAGCGGGAGACCGACATTAGACGGAGATTTGACCTAAGGAGGCAAGAACACACTAGGAGCAAGGTGAAGAATTCTTCTACGGGTTTTTCACTTCCTTCCTCCTGTTTTCCATTATTGGTTATGAATTCTAGTATTGTAGTTTTGCATACTATTATGAATAGCTAATTTGTTATCTAGGATTTTGATGGAACCTCTTGAAGGATGATTTTCCTGTTACGTTAATATAGATTTGCCATAACTTTTTTCTATTTGTTCAACTACGTTTATATTGTGGTTGGTTGAAGAGATCTCAATCGACTGCGCCTATTTAGTGTGTATTACTCGGGTGAGATTGTATATTTAGATAGTTTTTGAACAACATCACTCCTAACGTATATGAGGGATCAATACGGAGGGTTTAAAGGTGGGATTAGGGATAACGAAACCTTGGTGCGATCCGGGTGAGTCGTACTTAATGCCAGCTAGCGTAATTCGGGATAATATGTCTAGTAAATTGTGGTAGTTACTCGGGAGAGAATTACAACACTAGAGCGCTCATGATCGGTAGAGAAAACTTAGGCAAATCATAGAAAACGTAGCGAAAAGGATTCCGACAATAGGGGAAATCATAACTCTAGACCTCCTTAATCTTGTCTCCGATCCTTATCCTTGTTAATTGATAGTTTTATGCTTTCTAGTATTTGTTTGTTAATTAGATAAAAATAAACATTATAATCTTTATAATTAGGAAATTGTTTGGACTTGTGTTTCTTAGCGATATTGAACAACTGTAGCTGAGCCTTAGTTCTCTGTGGGATTCGACTTTGGACTTGTAAACCGTATTATATTTGCACGCTTAATCCTTTTATAAGGCATAGTTGGGCGTGATCATGACCGTAATCTTTGCACTAAATCCGCCCATGCCATGATACTTTCTGGATGTTTATATTTTCGTCTTGAATTATTTAAATACTTCTAACATATTACATACACCCTGTTCTTATGGTCCAAAATGCGAAAAGATTTGTGTTCTTGACTCCTTTCACTCCTCAAAATGTTTAGATATGTTTCCAGGTTCCACACACAGTAATATTCTGAACAATCTTTAGTTCCCAAGTTGTACTGCAAAATATGAGATTTCTTTTCTCTTATCTGTAGTGTTGAATCTGCGAATCTATTTGTTGATGAAGCAGCATTTCTAGAGCTCCATTCTGTACCTGATAGAGACTACACTCACATTAATCTATTTGTAGGAGGCACTGGTCGACTACACTCACATTAATCTGCTTAGGATTTTGATTGAACACATGAAGAAGGTGGTAAACTTCAAAGATGGAAATCATGGGTTGCCATATGGGTTCCTGCTCACAAAAGTCTTTAAATATTTTGAGGTTCCCTTAGGGAGAGCAGTTGTATGAACTCGTAAGCAAATGTTCTCGATGAACACCTTGAAGAAATGCGAGTGTACTGACAAAAGGGGGGAATCGACAGTAGTTCTACAATCTTTCAACTCATCGATGCTCATAGTACTGCTAATGAGGAAATCAGGAGGTTGAAGGCCTAGAATTCCATTCTTGAGGGTAAGATCAATCACGCCAGTACATAACCTGGTTCTAGTAGTGTTCAGGGTGCAGAAGTTGCCCGCTTGACGGCTGAGAATACAGAGTTGAGGAAACAGGCGGAGAACCTAAAAGAACAGCTGATCAATGAATAGAGAGCTGCTATTGCTCGTATGGATCGTCTCCTCAAGTCTCTTGCTCCCTTGTCCTTCCCCACCTCTTTCAGTGTCCCCTAATTTGTCCCCTTGTCAATGTCCATTTGTCAGTCGCTGTCAAATTCTACAATGTCCTTTTGTCAATCCCCTACGGTTTTAGTACTCTAGTAATGTTTATTTTGTCAATGTTTTGTAATGATGGTACTGCTACTTTTTTTTCTTCTTCTTAAATTAGTGAGCATCTTAGTCCTTTTTAAATGCATGTTATACTCTTGTGTTTTGTTTTTAGCTATGTTGTGTGCACACAAGTGGCATGAGTTAACTTTATCGGACTTTTTTTGCATTTCCTTGTCTGTTCTTTTATGATGCCAAAAGAGGAAAGAAAATTGAAGGGGAGAAACAGGTTCTGAGGGGGAATATGGCTATTCTGCAGGGGGAACAATATGGACCTGATTCTCAAGGGAAATCTCAATTCTAAGTTTGTCATCATCAAAAAGGGGGAAATTAAAAATTATGTGCCTTTTATTTTAATGATTTAACAAACTTCATATGATAACCAGGTAGAGAACCTGATATAACTAGCCTCTCAGCGTTCAAAACAACAAGTCAAATGTCTGGCACAAGTTTCAATGAAATCAGCTAAGGGAACAGCAGGGGAACAACTAGACATCAGTGCCTTCGGTCACAGTACAAGTCGACTCTTACAGCTCTTAAAGTTGCCACACTGTACACGCAATAGTACATCAACACTGTTGAAGCATGCTGTGTACCGGACACTCCCTTGCATCATCTTTGATGACCTCACTCGTATATTACCAACATGGGGCAAGGGATTACGCACACTTGTAAAACCCTAAAACATTATTTACTCTCAAGTGTGTAGCCGTCTGCATTGAAGAACAAAACAACAACATAATGAAGAACCAAATCCCATCATTGATTACATTGTGTGTCCTTTGTATTGTTGTGTCTTTGTTTATGTTATTTACTTGTAACTCCTACTCGGCTTATTTAGAAGCATCTCGTAGGACACTTTGTAAACCATAAAACCTTGTGTTTGTGTTGACTAGAGTTAGTCAAGTGGTTAGCTTTGTAATAGAGTTATTACAAAGAGACTTGCAATATAGTTATTGTAAGTAGGTGAGAGATTATGAGTTTAATTTCTAGGTTACAATAGGTTGTAATCTAAAGTTGCTCAGTTAGTGAAGTTGAAATCCTATGAGTATAGGTCGTAATTTTTAATCATGTGAGTTGAGAGTTTTCCACGTAAATATTGTTGTGTTATTTACTTATTGTTGTGTGTCCTGTGGGAACTGATATAGAACCAGGTTCTCCATACAGTTTGGTGGACCCATAGTTTACATCAATGACTATTGTTGTTCAAATACTAATTTTAATTTCTTAATTTATCATATTAGTTTATTAATTCAATCATACGCACAATTATTTGATTGTCTAATAAAAAATTGAATAATATCTACGAAAGAGTTGAACTTGGGAGAGAAAATTCTAGATTGCAAAAAGGATTGCGTAGAACTTATTTTTTAACCTGTGCCTTGAGGAATAATTTCGCAGTTAGAATATGGATATACCTAATAGTCTTGCTTAGTTGAATATCGTGTTTATTTGTTCTTTGTTAGATTTAATACCATAGGAATATATGGTCGATATATCTTAAATAGACGAGTAGTACCGCAGGAGCTTGCTAGTCATATGTAGGACTTCTATATATTAGAATTTTTCTTTTATTGAGTTTGGTAATATGTTAAATATTCATCATTTTTCATATTTTTTAAAATTATTTCTCTAATTCAAACATATTTTTAATATTATTTACGTGATTTTAAAGAAATTTTACATTCGTGGATTTGGGGTACGCGCGTTCCAGTTTCATAAAAAAAGGCAGCTCGGTGCACAAGGTATGTCACGTTCACGCAGCGGTCCAGAGAAGGGTCGCATCCCAAGAGCTACGAATGTAGGCAATCTATTCTAACGCAAGCATTAGCGGTTGCTTCAGCTGCTCGAATTCATAACCTAGTAGTTATACGGAGACAACTTTACCATTGTTCCGAGGCTTCCCTTCCAATATTATACAACAAAGAGAGTTCAAATCTGAATTGGCAGTCCTACAAATTAAAAGCATATCAGGTGTTAGTTTTCTGAAAGAATTTGAATATTTAACCCAGCACTTTAAAGCAATAGGGTGAAGTGGTCCAGAAAATTGTAAACTGTTAGATTAATTTAGTGAACATAAACAAAGATTTGTGTGCCTGTTACTGCAGCGGAAGATCAATTCTATTTATTATGTAGAACCCGTGAACTATAGGTCTCAAATTTACCGTTGTTCTAAGGCTCGCCTTCGCCATTTTACTAGGACTTTGTAATATTGCCTTAAAGCTTCAGCTGCAAAGGTAGATCAAGTAGAATTAGACAACTTTTTTACTGAATGTGTTCAAATACTTGTGTTGTGCTTCCAAAAGAAGATCAATTTGCTGACAACAATGCTGCAAGGTTAAAAGGAAAAGAAAAAAAGGTTCTTCCGGATGTACATATATATATATATTTTCGTCTTGAATTATCTAAATTCTTCTATTATATTACGTACACCCTTTTCCTATGGTCCAAAATGTGAAAAGATTTGTGTTCTTGGCTACTTTCACTTCTCAAATGTTTAAGTATGTTTCCACGTTCCACACACGGTAATATTCTGAACAATCTTTAGTTCCCAAGTTGTACTGCAATATGAGATTTCATTTCTCTTATCTGTAGTGTTGAATCTGCAAATCTATTTGTTGATGAAGCAGCATTTCTAGAGCTTCATTCTGTACCTGATAGAGATGACAAATATAATATTCCATACTATTATAAGTTATATCCAAACTTTATTGTACCATGCCTTACTGTATTCAAGAATTATGAGGAGCGGCCAGTTAGTTCATCAAGTTCGGACCCAACATCACACCTCGACAAACTCACGCATTCTCCAGGTCTGAAGTGATCCAGTGTCTGACTCGGATGCCTCCTTTATTCAAGAACTGCAAAATCTGTGGACCATATATCATGAAAATCTTCTGGAATCTACAATGGCAGATAGAAAATTCTTTACTTGGGATAAAGATTAAAGGGGGTTGATCCCAAAGTTTATCTCCTCAAGAAAAGGATATGCAAAGAGAAAGAGAGCATAAAGTGTCTATTGGTATAGATTGTGTTTAGAGAAAGGCATAATGAAAAGACAAGATTTCCCATTATTTAAATCAATGCCTTTGTGACATCCAAAAAATTGGTCAAAAAGCACTACTAGAAATCCGGAAAAAAGCGACCAGCAAAAGTGACCAACGTTGGTCGCTTATTGGCCAAAAAGCGACAGAAAAGCGACCAACCACGCCTGGTCGATATTAAGTTGGTCCCTTTACCTTAGGGACCAAAGTTGGTCGCTAAATAACGACCAACATTGGTCTCTCAGGTAAAAGGACCAAATTTTCCGGGCAAAGCATATAGCGACCAACTTTGGTCGCTCAAATATTTTAATATTATATATTTGGCGACCAAAGTTGGTCTCCAGATGTAAATAACGTTTTATTTTTATTTATTTTTAATCATATTAAGCGACCAACTTTGGTCGCTATATTAATAAATGTTATAATTTTTTATTTAATGGGCGACCAATATTGGTCGCCAATGGCAAGAATTAATTTATTTTTTTAACTATAAGCGACCAAGGTGGTCGCCAATGGCAAGAATTAATTTATTTTTTTAACTATAAGCGACCAACCTTGGTCGCAAAATTACCAGAATTTTTTTTTTTAAGTGAATAGCGACCAACTGGACATCAAAGTTGGTCGCTTTTTTGGTATATTTTTGGTAGAAATTGCCTGTTTTGGCTGCTACACCACCTGCCAGCTTATACCAAATATCCTAAACAGGCATTTTATGCCAACAACAACAACAACACTAAAACGCAACAAAATATAAAGATCAATAGAACTAAAACATTAAGCTAACAAAACTAAGTTAACGTTTATTACAAGCTCATTCGAAAACTAGTTCTATTGTCTAGTTCAAAGTATATAAAGTACTCAAGGAGTGTTCTTTTAGCATCCTCGTTCTAAAGTTGGATTGCCTTGGCCGACTCGTTAGGTGGTTGACTTCGTATGAATTCCCCCACATCAGCTGTGAAGCGAACCTATAAGAAAAATTATATTGAATTAATATTTTAAAATTTATATAAAAGTAAATCAAAATACTTAATGATAAGTAAAAAACTTACATGTATAGTCGAGGCTCGACCCTCGACCCACCTTTCTGAGTCTCTTTCTTCTTCTTTACAATACGAGTTTCATTGAATAGCTCATCTTGCTTCATTGGCATCATAAAGCTGTCCGGTGGCTTTGGTGATTATCCTCATGGTACTATTACTCGGGATGAACTTGGATACAGAGAATAACTTGGATACAGTAGCTGACAGGGTGTGTCTTTTGATCAATTGTTGTTCTCGTTAGCGACAATGATGTTGAGACTGCAATGACATGTGTTTCAACTAGAGATGGTATAGGCAGGAATTTTAACATTTCCTAAGTAGATAAAAGAAAGATTATAGAGGAATTCTCTACTTCATTTTCCAAGAAGAAAAGAAGTTTAATTGAGAGCGACAAGGGTGATGGTGATGGAATGTTTTCCGTTGGTCATGACAGTTCCGATAAAACGGGGATCATAAGACTCTATGATGACAAAGATCATAGGAAGTTTTGTTCTCAACTTTCTTCCAAGTCTGATCCGTACAAGCTTAATTGGATGTTGGTCATATATTCTTCGGATTTAGACAATGATTTGTCTGACAAAAGTATGGAACTACTAATCAAAAGAATTAAAGCTAAAATGTTTTTCTCTGTAACATTTTAGCTTTAATTCTTTTGATTAGCATTTCCATACTTTTGTCAGTCAAATCATTGTCTGAATTGAAGAATATATGACCAACATCCAATTAAGCTTGTACGGATCAGACTTTGAAGAAAGTTGAGAACAAAACTTCCTATGATCTTTGTCATCATAGAGTCTTATGATCCCCGTTTTATGGGAACTGCCATGACCAACAGAAAACATTCAATCACCATCACCCTTGTCGCTCCCAATTAAACTCCTTTTTCTCTTGGAAATTGAAGTATAGAATTCCTCTATTACCTCTTCTTTTATCTACTTAGGAAATGTTAAACTCCTACCTACACCATAACTATTTGAAACACATGTTCTTGCCTTCTCATCATCGTTGTCGCTAATGAGAAGAACAATTAAAGGCACACTCTGCCAGGTACTGTGTCTTAGTTATTCTTGGTGGAAGTTCCATTGCATGTCTAATATTACCATCAACCACGTCTACAAAATCCTCCCGCAATCTAAAATTCCAATACATAAACCAAAATTTTAATTCATATCCTAAAGTTTCAACTCATATCCACAAAAGTTCAAGTCATATCCTAAAATTTCAATTTATATACTAAAATTCCAATACATAAACCAAAATCTTAATTCATATCCTAAAGGTTCAATTCATATCCTAAAGGTTCAACTCATATCCACAAAAGTTCAAGTCACATCCTAAAATTTCAATTTATAAACAAAAATTGCAATACATAAACCAAAATTTCAATTCATATCCTAAAGGTTCAACTCATATCCACAAAAGTTCAAGTCATATCCTAAAATTTTAATTTATAAACTAAAATTCCAATACATAAACCAAAATTTCAATTCATATCCTAAAGGTTCAACTCATATCCACAAAAGTTCAAGTCATATCCTGAAATTTTAATTTATAATCTAAAATTCCAATACATAAACCAAAATTTCAATTCATATCCTAAAGGTTCAACTCATATCCACAAAAATTCAAGTCATATCCTAAAATTTCAATTTATAAACTATTCCAATACATAAACCAAAATCTCAATTCATAAACTAAAAGTCCAATTCATATCCTAAAGGTTCAACTCATATCCATCAAATTTCAAGTCATATCCTAAAATTTCAATTCATAAACAATCAGTATAGTATGAATAGTTTTATACTATTACCATGCTGACCAATCTAGATAAATCTTCTAATTGTTCTTTGTGAAAGTTAGGTTTTCCGAAATGAGAATATGAGTATGCCAAGATACTTCAATCTAAGCTTAAGTATGTAGTTATATCTGTGTAATATGCCCAATAATGTAAGGGGTTAAGTGTTTTATTTATAAATATAAGGGGTGTATTCTCAAATTAATAACTCCTATCTTCCAAAGATAAATTTATTAATTATCTATCATTAAATTAAACGGATTTTAGATTGGCTACCATATTTCATCTAATCAAGAACAAAAGAAATATCAATTGTTTTCACTGGCCATTCCTTTTCTGAAAGAAATATCAATTGTTCTTCTATAAGTTAAGTCTGCACCTTCATTTTTTTGTGTTAATATCAATTTGTTTGTTGATTCTGCAATACTACTGCATTATCATATTAAAATTATTCTTCGTGTTTCAATTTTGTGATGAGTCAAACAATGAAACAAAATAAATATCAAGATAATCAGATCTAGATTCTAATCCTCACAAGAACTAAATTTTAAGTTGACCCAACCATAACAAGACTTAACATAAACCCTAAAAATTTAGGGTTTCTTCTCTTCAATCCATTTTTTCCCAAATTAGTAGGTAAAACTAATTATTTTAGCTACTAATAATTATCCTAAATTTAATTTAGCTAAGAACAATTAATTTTTACAAATCAAACTACAAAGAATTAAAATAAATCTGTGTATTTCGAAAAAAATAAGGAAAGGAGAGAGAAACCTACCTGGACAGTGGAGGACACCGGCGGTGGAGCTGCTGCTGCCTCCGGCGGGTGGAGGGTGGAGGGGGATGGCGGCGTCGATGGAGGGAGACGGAAGGGGATGGGGGGTTTGGGTGTGAGAGAGAGAAGAGAGAGAAAAAAATAAGAGAATATGAGGGGAAACCCGTTTCTTAGCTACTGCATTTACAGAAAGCGACCAACCTTGGTCGCTATTTTAGGTAGCCAAAATGTATTGACTATTTTGACCAAAATAGCGACCAACATTGGTCGCTAAGTTCTGACCGTTTGACCAGAATAGCGACCAACATTGGCCGCTATATCTAAAAAAAATTAAATTACTTTTAATTCAAATTAGTATTTTATATATATATATATATATATATATATATATCAAGTTTCATCAACTATCCCAACAAAATAAGTTACTCTATTACGAAGTAATAAAAACTAATTTAGAAATAAAGAACTTAGAAGAACTATTATTCTTCTAAAAGAAAGACAACTAGTAGAAAATACTAAAGAAAAGAGAGAGAGACCAAGAGTAGTTTCTCCCAACAAGACTCTTCCCCTCACAACACAATATTTATAGAAAATGTGTAGCAAATGTGAGATGATGTTGCAACTTCAAGTCTTGATGTTGTGACTTCAAAAGTTGATGTTGTAACTTCAAGACGTGATGTTTTGACATCAAAATTTGATATTGTGACTTCAAAGTTACATTCACTCTTGTTTACCACGAGCATTGTTCTTTTTCCTCATTGTTTTGCTTGTAGTCCTCTTTCCTCAATTCATCTTTCCCCCGCAAAACTTGTTAGAAAATATAGGAGAATCGAATATATTTATTCATGTTTTATTTAAAAATCCTTATTTACATGTATGAAAATACATGAATAATTTAAATTCATCAAATTCCACCACACTTGAACTTTTACTCGTCCTCGAGGAAAAAGCATTTTTTAACAACTCTCTTCAAAAGTTATTGTTTGCCTTGTGGAGAGAAAATTTATTCAAGAGAAGGGTTTCCTCATTTCCCAAAACTGATTAACCTTTTGAATCTCACAAAACATTTACCTTTCTTATGATTCCATCTTTGTTTGGCAAGAACATGTATTTCTTCTCCCTATGACTCTTAAGAATTGATAAATTTATGGCCACCATCAATAAGAATTGTACTTCTTTATCTATTGGCTTGCTCATTATGTAAATCGCCACTAACGTTGTTTAAACACTATTTTCTGAAATCTTTTAGGACTTTTTCGGTTTGTACTGTTAAGCTTCAGGTTGGAAGGTTAAAATTTTTTTTTATAGTGACTCTTTTTTTTTATGTGTAGCTATTGAATCAATATATATTCAGAAAATTTGAAGTAGTTTCCTCTTTTTTTTGGAACAATACTTTTTGTACAATATACATTTTCTCTATATATGAAGAATCTATATCTATATTGCTTCTATGCCTTTTTCTGCCACTATTTTTTTTTAATAAGCTCCATCTTTGAATTTTCAGCTGAAGAGAAACAGTTAGGAAGAAGTAATTACAGAAATATGGGTATCTATAATTTACTGGTTCAGATTGCGGTGTGACAAGAAAGAATGGTTTTCAGGTTAAAAATAAGAAATCAAAGAAAGCCTAATTCATTTTTCAAAAATTAGTGTCAACTATTATTTCGCCTTGACAAACATTCTGAGCAAGTTCTAGTAAAGAATTACTGAATCTACCTGTTGATGTTCATAACTCTTGTCAATTCCAATGATCTCTGCAAATCCTTGCTTTCACCAAATCAGAATAATAAACTTGGAAGTTATGTGATTCAAGAAGAAAAGAGTTAATATTTGAAAATGAAGAGATCTTATTTTGTGAATTTAATACCCATAATATAATAATAATCCATGATAGAGAATAATATATAAGTAGTACTTTATTTACGGAAATTGGAACTCTTTTTTTTCTTTTTATGAATACATGAAGTACTAAAGAACTTTTTCTTAAAATAAAAAAAATAAAATTCTTTTTCGCTTTCAAGTTTACAGTTACAGAAGAAAGCTTGAAAGAAACTGTGACTACACCTGTTCTATGTATAATAGACTGGACCAATTTTACACCTTAACCTGAACCAATAATTAATTTATGCAATTAGATGGTTAACCAACCAGTGACTTAGGCCTACCGACCATCATGGAATTACTCCTGTATAGATGGCTCTGTTGTTGTAGAGGCCTTCATGGGATGTCTCGGTTGTATAATAATCTGGACATTAACCAGATCAATTGGTTAAGCATTTATTCATACAAATTATATCTGGCTTATGAGGTTCCTATATGCAGAAGATATGAAGTACCAGATGGTCTGTGTTCCACGAGNTACTACTTTAACTACATATATAGCATGTTAGAGTATATTTTAGTGTATTCATCCCTTGTATTACAGAAGTGTTAACGGATTACATTTATATTATTTAGATAGTAAATACAAAAGTGATTTTTAATTTTGACCAATGTTGACCTGAAAAGAGACCAACTTTGGTCGCTAATTATCCAGAAATTCAAATTAGCGACCAATGTTGGTCGCTAAATATCCAGAAAATTAAAATTAGCGACCAATGTTGGTCGCTAAATTTAAATAGATTTATTTATATTTTATACAATATTTAAATTAATAATATAAATGTTAAACGTTAGAACTGGGTCCCAGATTAGCGACCAAAGTTGGTCTCTATCTGCTTCCCCTTTCGTGAGCGACCAACTTTGGTCGCTAATTTTGAATTATATTTATTTATATTTTATAATTTTTTTTAAATATCAATATAATTATTAAAATTTTATAAGTGGGTCCCACTTTAGCGACCAAAGTTGGTCGCTAATTTCAGTATTTCTTTGACCAAGCAAGTCTGACGAGTCCGGTCAATATTTTGACCAAATTAGCGACCAAAAAGCGACCAACCTTGGTCGCTAATGTATTTAAAATAATTATTTAATTATTTTCTCCAATTTAGCGACCAACGTTGGTCGCTTTTCTTGGCAGACCAATTTTGGTCGCCAAATTTTGGTCGTTTTTTTCCGAATTTTTAGTAGCGAAGGACAGTTCGGTGCATTAAACTATCGCTATGCGCGGGGTCCGCAGAAGGGTCGGACCATAAGGGTCTATTGTACGCATGCAAGCTTACCCTGCATTTCTGCAAGAGACTGTTTTCACGGCTCGAACCTCTGACATCCTGGTCACATGACAACAACTGTACCAGTTACACCAAGACTCAAAACCCCCAGAAAATTGGTCTATAGAGGGAAAATGTGTAGAGATAATCCAAACATGACACTAAACTCTAAGACAAACAAGTCAAAAAGCAACCAAAATTAAAACTTGAATCTCTATTCACCACTTTCTGCAGTGTGTAGGGAACAATTATTTATATGGAATTGAAAGTAAAAGGATGGTAACTTACCAAGTTGTAAAGCAAACATTTTATCTTTTCTATCCAAAAGGAAGCATATATTCATATTGTACTTTTTGAAAGAGCCTCAAACAAGCATGAATAAGATTCTTGGAAGGTCTAAAAGGTTTTCTATAAAAACAATCATCACTTGGCATCACAAGTTTCTTCAATCACAAAACCATTGGAAACTCCTCCTTTTGGCTATATTTGAACTAAAATGAAACATGCCAAAGTTCTTTCACTAGCTCTTATGACAACAAAATGGTCTATTTTGCTCCTTTGCGTTACATTTTCTCTAGCAAATTCTCATGATACTAATACACCAGCAGGTTTACTTTGCATAAGTGATTGTTCAACATGTCCTGTTATTTGTTCACCACCACCTTCCCCTATCAAACTCAAGCCACCACCTTCGCCATCATCGGTACTAGTACAAGCACCACCACCACCACCACCACTTTTCGCCCCACTCCGCCCCTCACCATCTCAGTCTTCTCCCCGATCACCATCACCTTCCTCGTCGCAACCATCACCTAAATCTCCACCACCATCTTACATTACATATACTGCTGCTCCTCCTCCTCCTTCTCATTCTTCTAATTGTCCTACACCTCCTAATATTATCAATATACCAGCAACTCAGGCGCCACCGGCCAATGGACAGAAGAATTACCCTTACTACTATTTTTATGTTTCAAAGGCAACTTCTTTTCCACTTCATGGCTCCATTATTATTGGATTTTTGGTGGTCTTTCATTTCTTATGCATTTGTTGGTGAAAAGAGAAGCAGGGTATAATTCTTGAAAATCAAGATGGTATATGTATATTTTTGATTCTAGGATATTAGAAAGAACAATGGTTTCTCCTCGCTGGTATCATAATTGTATTTATTACTATATCACATTTTTCAATTCATCTACTAGTATCATTTGACAAAATGAACGAATTTATGTAAAAAAATTTCTTGATCTATTTCTTATCTGTTCCAACATGATTGAAATTGGGTACATATTATTAATAGAAACAATGTTCATACGTATGACTAGATTGTTTCTGTACTGTCAACTTCAGGATTGCCAAGATGAAAATCATGTGGCAGGTTAAAAGTAAGTAGAACACAAAGGTCTGAATTTGGATTTGGCTTTAACTTAAGCTCATCAGACTGATTACACCAAATTGCAGGCTCATCAAATTGAGCTTGTAAAAGTTGTTGGAAAGGATGACACACGATACGTGCACATTCTAAATTACCATATAATTAAGTAAAATGCATAACTATAATTTTGTTCCTTCACAGATACTAGAGTTGAGCTGTAAAAGTTTTTGCTTTATAGCAGAAAACTACTCGACTAAGAAAAGAACCATCAGCTGGATATAAGAGAGTCAATTGATAGCTTGTTTGGATGGTTACCTGTTATATTGTATCGTACTGTTACTTTAAATACAATGTTTGTTTTTATTGTTACTTAAAGTTTATTGTATCGTATTGTTAATCCATCGTTACGTAATGATGAAAAGTGCCACTTTACGGAATGACCGATTTAGTGTGGTCGCATCGTTCCTTTATTTTTTTCTCTCACCTTGTCCTTCTATATTATTAAATAATCTTATTTTATCCTTTACCACACCTTTTATATAATAATTCTACCTTATACAACTTACTTTTTCCTTATAATAACTTTATTCTTCGTAGTATTGATGCATGATATGACAAAAAACAATATTATCCAAACGTTGTATATATAAAAAAAAATACAGAACAATACAATACAAATACAAATACAATACGATACATTATAAAACGATACATAACAATCAACAAGCTGTGAGGGCGCTAGCTCAAATCATGCCGGACCTGCAACCGTTGTTACCTATCTCTAATTGAATGTAGATATTATTTTTAGATATTGTATGGGTCGAAATCTAACCCTGAGTTGGAGGCGATAGAAAAGTTCGACCCTGTCATGACCGTGCCCACGAGGCGTAATGATGACGGGTCTCACGGTCCTTGTCGAGGTCAGGCCGTCAAAAAGCTTACATCGCGGGATAAGCGTGCGAACTTGGATAAGTAACAAAGGACTGTCACAGGAAAGGAGACTGGTCAAGGACTGTTGGACAAAAGGGGACATTGTTAATATATAAAGGGAAGAAGGGAACTGTGAAAGGGGGAGGAGCAATAACTAACAAGAGCAATACTACGAAGCCAAGGGGAGAGGATTCCTCAGTTATCTGCAACTTCCTTTTTCTCTTTTACAGTACTTCCACTGTAACCCAAGTCTATCACGAATGTAAGCTTACAACTCTCCCCCAATGTATGATAGCGATCTCAAGAAATGTTAAATTAGTTTATTCTCTTCCATTTTAATACTCAATATGTCGAGATCTAGAGTTGATTACCTTTGGCTAAGATTTATCCTCTATTCCATTCATTAATTAGTTTAACAAAAAGTTTAATACTTTTTGGTCAAATAATTTGGCGCCGTCTGTGGGAATTTCTTAGCCAAATTTGTTAGTTTCCTTTAGATCCAGAATCAGTGAAATATCACTATCAGGTTGTCATGGTCACACCTTTTCGGTGCTACCACCCACTCGAAAGAGCGGTAGGCATGCCTTCGAGACAACCGTACCAACCTAGGCCAAAATGCTACCTAAAGTAGAAGTTATAACCAATACCTAAGAAAAACTCAATTCTCGCTCGTAACAGTAGGCTTAACACGACGAACGCACATTCGAAATAGGATCCTGGTCACCTAGCGTAACCAGAGCCCTATTTTCATATTCCCACACTCGCTAGATGGTCTATTAACGAAGTTTGACGTATTTCTCTTGTTATTGACACAAATCAGACGACACCGGGCTGGGACTCGATTTCATCCCATGAATGAGGCGGGTCCAACCCATGCGGAATCGAGGCGCTAGCAACTCGGAGCAGAACACAACCGCCAAATCTGAAACCACCATCCGAGCACCAGGCGGAGCGAGTAACACTACAACGTCAATTTTTCTCCCACTGATTCGACAGGCCAAGGTAACAGAAAATTTCATTCCGGTTTATCTTCACTCCTTTATCGGTTAAAACAGCTGAATGCAAGCACTCGCGCGAGCAAGAAAGCAAAAGAGCACTCCAACTGGAAATAACAGAAGGAAAACTACTACAAAACGATTGGAATATCACCCACCTCAAATACTTCGGCTTCTGAAAGAGCACGCCTCCTCACGTCATACCTGTAACGACCCGACCGGTCGTTTTGAGTCCTAACACGTCATTCAGCGGTTTGAGGCCATGAGCAGCTTCATTTCAGGCATTATGACTTGCACGCGCGGTCGGAATTGAGTTTTGGGAAATCCAGAGTTGATTTGGGAAGAGAATTCCTATTTCAGGAGCCTAAAGTTGAAAGAATGAACTAGGATGGGAATTTCGAGCAAACGACCTCACAATCGGGATTCGAAGGTTCCAGCAGGTTCGTATGATGATTTCGGACTTGGGCGTATGCCCGGTTCGGGTTTTGGATAACCCGAGAGCGTTTTGGCACCTATTGTGGAAGTTAGCATTTTAGAAGGAATTTCATAAGTTTGGCTTGAAGTTCATTTCAGTGTTATCAATGCCCATTTGGGATTCCGAGACTGTGAATAGCTCCGTATGGTGATTCTGGAGTTGGGAGCGCAATCGGAAGTGAATTCGGAGGTCCGTAGGTCATCTTGGAGCCATTTGGCTAAATATAGAAATTTGAAGGTTTTGAGAAGTTTGACCGGAAGTGGACTTTTTGATATCGGGGTCAGAATCTGATTCCGAAAGTTGGAGTAGGTCCTAATGTCGAATATGACTTGTGTGCAAAATTTGAGGTCAATCGGACATGATTTGATAGGTTTAAGCATCGAAACTAGAAGTTGGAAGTTCTAAAGTTCATAAAGCTTGGATTGGGGGTTGATTCATGATTTTAGCGTTGTTTGATGTGATTTGAGGCCTCGAGCAAGTCCGTAATGTGTTTTGGGACTGGTTGGTGTGATTGGTCGGGGTCCCGGGGGCCTCGGGTGTGTTTCGGGTTGTATCGCGCTCTTATTTGATGTTTCAACATCGTTTCTTTGGACATAAAAGGGTACCATATTAAGAAAATGAGCACCAAATTAAGTTTTTATTGTACCATTAGATCCGTATCAAAATTACGGATCCACAGCAAAAAGAATCGTCGAATTTGGACATCGTATGAGGGAGTTATGCTCATTTCCGTGTCGAGAAAAGTGCTGGTTGCTGTCATAACCGCAGATGCGAAAATTTTCCGCATATGCGGAAATTTTCCGCAGATGCGAAAAAATTTCCGCAGATGCGGAAACTGCTGGAGGCAGAGAGATTTCTTTAAAAATCGAAGTTTGGCTCATTTTCACTTCATTTCTTCCATGGGAGCCGATTTTGGAGCAACTTTGGAGTGTCATTTTCATCACCAAGCATGAGGTAAGTGATTTCTACTAGTTTTGAGTATATACAAGGTTTATATATGGATTTAGACTTGGAAAATTGTAGAAAACTTGTGGGTTTGAGGGAAAACCTAGAAAATTAGTATTCTTGGGATTTGACCACGATTTTGGATATGGAATTTAGAGAAAATCATATATTTGAGTTCGTGAGGCTATGGGCAATCTTTCTTCGAAAAATTTCGGATTCCGGGCACGTGGGCCCGAGGGCATTTTTGTCAACCTTTCGATCGGGGTTAGGAATTGTTATAAATTGGATTATAATGAATACCTTAGTATATATTAATGGATTTGTATTATTATTTGCTAGCGTTGGAGCCTTGTGCATCGATTCGAGTCTTCGAAAAGGCGTGGAATGCCGGTTATGGATCTTCGTAGCGAGGTGAGTCTCCTTTCTAACCTTGTAAGAGGGAATTGTCCCCATAGGTGAATATAATTGATTAAGTGCTCCTACTTGTGGGGGCTACGTACGCACGAGGTGACGAGAGTCCGTGCGTAGCTACTATTATGCTATTGTCCGGGTAGCTAGGACCCAAAAGCATGAATACTTGGATTATTTGTAAACCCTATGGTAGCTTGAATTGCTTAAATCACATGGAATTTGTAAATGAATTTCTAAAGGGAATAAACTTTACTTCTTAAATTTGCTAAAAGAGAATTCGATATATTTTGATAAATATTCTCTGATAAGTTCTTACTTGATTGGTTGAGCATGTATCTCTCTGTGTATCTGCGTCGCATGTACGATTCGCGAGCAGGGTATGTGTTTATTTTATGTTGACTGCGTCGTAGATTATTTCGCGAGCGGGGTAATAGATGCATCTATAGGCGCGCCGTCGACCCTCGGCAAGTGCACAGTTTATTTCTGTTGGATCGGGTCGTCGCCTCGGCATGATTTGCGCATGATATTTATATATATTGATGCATGAGAAATTTTAAATGATGATATTGCCTTTCATGGCTTCATGTAAATTGATAAGATAAAGAAAAGTAAACCTTTAAAATCCTTTATTATTTGTTGAAGGTGTTTTGCCTGTCTTCCGGCTTTGTAAGATAGAACTGCCATATAAAATCCCTGATTTCTTTGTACATTTAGTATATTATCATTGGACCATTAGTAAGTGTCAAAGTTGACCATCTCGTCTCTACTTCTTCGAGATTAGACGGGATACTTACTGAGTACACGTTGATTACGTACTCATACTACACTTCTGTGCATTTTTGTTGCACAGGTATAAGTAACTCTAGTGGCCTACTGGGCGTAGCAGCGCGGATGATTTTGGTACTAGGTGAGCTGCATTGTTCGAGGCGACCCGCAGCTAGTGTAGTTCCTTTCAGCATTTTTATATTTATTCCCTGTCCACTGTATTTCGGACAGATGTTGTATTTCATTTTCCTTATCAATAGATGCTCATGCACTTGTGACACCGGGTTCTGGGACGGTTTTTCGAAAGATCTGTATTAATTGATTATTATTTAATTTGAATCGAAATAGTGAACCTTTTTTTATTTACGAAAAGTGGAAGGAAAATCCTGCAT